GCGGTCGCGGCTGTGACGAGGCCAGTCTCTGCGGCCTTGAGGGTTTCCCTCGGAAGTGGTCGGCGAAGGGTATAGCAGGTTTCAGGTATAGGGGTGTTTAAAGCAGCCGCCGTTGTCGGTTTATACTGGGGCAGCTATACCTAGAAATAGGGCTTTTCGAAAGTCCGCAAGCAGGCACGAACAACTAAATACAAAAGCTGGATTTTCCGTGAAGGAATATTGAAGAACTGTCAGGTAGACTTCATGACGTCTTTTCCGCAGCGAAGCTCTGATCTGTTGCAGTCTACCACCACGCAGTTTGCGGCCTCCTCCATCCTGTGTCACGAAACTTCAAATGTGTGCGGGCTGTTCGATGCCATCTCTCCGAGACCGCTTTGACCTGTGTTCGGTGACACAACAGGGTCCTGCCAACCGTGGTGAATCCTGAAATCTGCGGGCCAACTTTTTTCGAGCTGTTTTGTCTCGCCAAGTAGAGTCAGAAAGAACACCGAAGCACTGGCAGCAATAGTGGAAGGTCCGGTTCACCACGCCAGCCATTGTCCAATACTGAAGGCCACTGCCTTGGCGAGGAAACGCCGACTCTCTACAGCCCTCGAAAGCACGAGATGGTGAAGCTTTCGCTTCTATCGGTCCATAGCCTGTGAAAGTTGCCACCTCGCCCGTCCTTGACCATGGGTTCTCTTGAGCTTTCGCTTAACTTGGGCGCTAGAGTTTCGCTACATTGGGCTCAGAAGACGGAGTCGTTGTTCTTTCATGCCGGCGGCCCAGAGCCCAGAGAACTCCAAGCTCATGCCTGGCCAGGTCTGAAAGCCGTCCCTTCCGCAAAAAAGCTTTGCTGATCTAGGGTGGGTCTCCACCAGCCCAGGTTTGCGCATGCCATCCCGGGCGAAAGATTTGATCTTGGAGCTTCTAGAACTGAGCGCCTGTGCCTGGTGTTGTTGCAGTGCCGTCCTCCCTTAACTGGGTGCTTCTGGTAATGTTTGGTGGAGCAAGTGCTCTGCGATGGTCGCCTATGTGCCTGCGCAAGGCGCGCGAGTGTTTCCTCAACCGCAGGCTCAAGATCCTGAGTCGCGAAGATCTCAGAGCCTGCGCCTGAGCCCTTGCAGGGTTCTGCAAACGTCGCGCGGCTCGTCAAAGTCCCGAGCCCCTTTGTGTGCCGGGCAGGGCCTGACAGATGTCTGCTTCCTTTCTCAGACACCCGGCAGGCTTCGACCCCTTCTGACCTGAGCGTTAGCTGAAGTGCTGTCTGAAGGAAGTCTGAGAGGTTCAGGCCTCAGCTTCAATACATGGAAGGTTTCTCCTATGCAGGGAATCAGCTTGAGCGATTCCGCACAGCTTTAGAGGGTGATCTTGGCCTCGTCGAGCCCCCTTCCCCTCTCTTCGACATCCAGCCTGTCTGGGACCATCTGGGGCCAACTCTGGATTACTCTTGAACAGATGCAGTTCAGCCTGAGGACTCGTCAGGGTAGCAGCCTCAAGCTTGGCGGCCGTGGAGGAATGTGAGCAGAGAGGGGGGGCATGGGGGGGCCCCGGCCCGGGCTCGTCATGGAAGCTCGCAAGCCGAACTTTGGGTTCACGGCGGTTCAGGGCCTTTGATGTTTAGGATTTAGGGGAGAACTTCAACTTCCACCTTCTTTGACAAGATGAGGCTGATGTCATGGCAGCTCTCCCAGCACTGACCCACTGCCCGTGCATGGCGTAACGGTGCCACAGAGCTGAGACGCGCCAGCCAGTTTCTTCGTGTCGGGCCCGTGCTCGGCCACGAAACCCTGAGTTCCTGAGCAAGTGAGCCCGAGACACCCACTCCTAAGCCTCAAAAGCTATGAGTCCCTAAACGTTTGCTACAAAAGGCCCAGCAGGGATCCTGTAAATTTCTACTGGGACTTAGGGGGTTCCACCGTCAAGCTTAAGCCTCGGCGTGATGCTCCAGCAGGGCAGGATTTTCATGTCCCGTGCACAGGATCCATTCTGGAATTGAGGAAATCCATGGACCAGTCCCTTGAGCGTTCACGAGGCTTGCGAGGTGGTCAAGTTCGTGCACGCTGTGCTTTCAAGTGACCGGAGGCAATGGTCTTTCAAAGCGGCAGTGCCCTTTCCGTCGGTGCTCTTGCTGTCGTCGTGGTTGTGCGTCTTCTGGGTGCTTCCTCCTCTCCGCGCTAGCGTCCTGAGAACGGCATGCTGTTGCCAAAGAAAGCGGCAAGGTATGGGGATCCTATAGTCCGTAGAACAGAACAGGGTCTGAGTATGATCTGTTTAAGGACAACTGCTCTCGCAGGTGCCGTGAAAGTGCTCTGCAGGCGAAAATGCAGCTGTCTTTCAAAGCGATCCAAGCGGCAACGCCCTTTCCGCCACTCTTCCTGCCGTCGTGGATGTGCGCCTCTGCACTGGGGTTCTAAGGACGGAAAGCTGTTGCCAAAGAACGCATCAAGGAATGGGATCCAATAGTCCGTAGACAAGAAGTATCTGAGCATGATATGTTTCCTACGTGTTAAGGATTACCCAACATGCATGTTAAAGCATCCAGCCGTGAAAGTGCTCTGCAGGCTACAATGCAACTGTCTTTCCAAGCGGCAGCGCCCTCTGCGTCGGTGCTCTTCCTTTCGTCGCGGATGTGCGTCTTCCGGGTGCTTCCTCGTCTCTGCGCTGGGGTTCTAAGGACGGCAGGCTGTTGCCAAGGAACTCATCAAGGACTGCAATCCTATCGTCCGCAGAGCAGAACGGGTCTGAGCATGATCTGTTCCCTAGGCCCTAGGTGTTAAGGACTCGACGCAGGTTCCGTGTTTGCGATCCTTGAAGCTGAAGCCTCTGCAGGCCTAGCCCGTGCAAGTCCTACGAACCGGAGGCACCTTTGTAAAGTTTTTGGCCTCCGCTCCCAAATCGCCATTAAGGTAAGATCCCGAGCCCTGTAGCCAGTTCGACCACCTAGGCTGTGCATGTTCTCTTCATCATCCTCACTTCAAGAAGCCACTATGGACTGCCTGCAACTTTCACGAGCTTCGGGACGGGTGTTGGGGCCGGCACGAATCCGACGATTTTGCTGCTAGAGTAGCTCACTAAAGACTAAGAGGTGCTGGTTCATGTTGAGTGCAACGCGGTGGTCGTTGAACTCGACGTCTATGGGAGTTTGTATAGCAACTTGGCGAATGGGCTTCTGCCTCCCAAGAACTGGTGATTAGGCAGCGTTTGTGTTGTTAGAAGCGTTTGTCATGGGTGGCCCTCATCATTGAGCCGCCTCCATTGCGAGCCTGCGCGGCTGGATCATTGCTTCGCCGAAGCTCAAGGTCTTGGAGCTGAGCTTACATGACTTCGAGTCGCGTTCCGCAAATTGGGCCTGTCCTCGGCATGTGGCCTGCTCATTTCTCAGCTTCATGTCCCACGGGGAAGCACTGCCCTTTCTCTGAGGGGTCTTCGAAGATCGCAGCCCGAAGCTGTAGTTTGCATCCCAAACATACTCAGCGCACATATTTAGGCGCGTGGCGATCTGAGCGAAGGAGCTTGGAGATGCTTACGCCGTGATAGAAGGTTGCGGGTTGGCGATGTCAGTCGCGCTCATGAGCCCTGCAATGCAAGCCACCGGCTGAGCCACCTGCCGTTGCAGCATGCAGCCGATGGAGGAACCCCATATTCGAGCCTGTGCACTTCCTGTTGCGGGTTTCATTCTTGTGATATGGCTTTCTTGGTGGCTCCGAACCGGCTTGGGAGTTGTGTGGGATCAAAGCTACGGCCGGCAGTGGTTCAGTGGAGAATCCCAGCCACAGCTCGGACAGCCACTTCGCCAGAGCTAAGACTAGCTTAGAGCTCGGGCTGCGGCTTTTCAAGTCTCATAGGTCGCAAGATGTCACAAGGTTCAGGTTGATGTTCATGCCTGCCAGATGCGACTTGGATGACACCTCCGACCGTGTGCTCGTCTCCAATCCATCTCCGAGGCTTAAGAGATGAGTTCTGCAAGATTCTGCAAGCATCGTATCGGCTTCGCTGTCTAAGCACTGCTTAGCACGGCAGGCGCACTGCGCCCTTGGCCTGCCATGACTGCCTTCGCCCTTCATGTGAGGAGTTGACTCCCTTTTGTGTGCTTCGTCGTGCGCTTCGCCCCGTACGCTTCGCTTGGGACTTTCGATGGCGCCGGCCGGGCCCCAGGACCTCGCAGGACCTCCGGGGCGAAGTCGACACGTGACCGGAGGTTCCAAACATGCTGCGTGAGCTCTTCGGAGAGCCTCCGATCCCATGGCCTGAGTCTACGCCTCCAGAGCCAGCTCACCAGGAGCAGCGATGCCAGCCTGTAAGTTCGCGGATATCTCGCACTCAGGTTTCTGTGAAGCTTTAGGCTGTTAGGGTTTGGGCTCAGCCGCTGCAGCGCAAAGCCTTGAGAGCCGTGGTGCCCAAGGAGTGCAGCAGAGCTAGCAGAACGGCGTTGACGCAATGCAAACCAGAGAAGCTCCCAAGTCTGTGCTTGAGCCACGAACATCAGGCAGACGCCTGATGCTGGGGCCTGTCTGGGACATCACGAGACTCGTCACGAGACTGCTCCGAGCTTTCCAGAAATCTCCAAGCTCAGGCATCGCGGCCTGCACAAGGCAGGCATAAAGCCTCACGTGGTTGCACACGGGGCTTCACCCGAGGATTTTCAGACGTGACTTGTTATGGCATCAGGAGTGTCGCAACTGTGTGGCAGAAGAAATGAGAACGAATCGCCCAGTCGCTTGTTTGCTGCCGTTGTTCTGCATTTCTTTCGCTTGTCAACTATGCAGGCTTTCGGAGGCTCACAGGTCACAATCCACGTGAAGTCTTCAAGGTTTGGGGATTGCTTGAGCTTTCTCCGGTGGACAATCCAGATTTTCACAGCTTTGAGAGTATGTCTAGTTAAGAGTCTAGTTGTGTTATGCGCCAAAGATGCTTGACAAATCTAGAGAATCTAGAGGTTCAGCGGGTTCGTCGTATACTACGGGGAACAAAGAAGAATTCCGTTGAGTTCCTAGGGCCGTGCGTGCCAGGCGAAAGCCATGGAGCAGAGCGCAGACGCCGCTTCTGGCGATCCCGCGCAGTCCTCGGCCGCAGGACGGGACTGCTTGAAAAGTGTTGAAAAAGCGGAAGACGTCAGGGTCTCTGGAGAGAAGCATCAGGTCCTCCCGAGCCGCCCTTGGAGCCGAACCAGTACGGGGAGGATGCAGAGTGGTTGCAGCGGACATTGGTGTACCAACCTCCTGTGCTGGAGACCGTGGAGCTCTCTCCCGGAGTTGCCATCGTGGACTTGAACACTGGCAAGCAGAAGGTGGCCGAGGCTGAAGCGACCCGACCCATGTCGCGGCAGGAATACCTCGTTCTGACGCAGTCTCACATCCGGTCGAAGCCTGTAGCGAAGGCCATGCCTTCGCACGTAGATGCCCGGGTCGTGGAGATTCAGCGCCTCTTCCAAGCGATGTCCTCGTCCTCGCCCCCCTCGCATGCAGTGTCCTCGAAGTCCTCGCCGCGCTCCCCGCGTCGCCTCGGAGTGCCCTGCCGGCCGCTCTCCCCCAAGGGCTCAGCCGGCGAGGAGGCGGAGCGCTGCGCTGCTCAGAGCCCACGGACGGTGCCGGGCCCCAAGGCCGCCGGGTAAAAAGGAAAAGCCGAAGTAAGTCAGCCGAAGCCACACCGCTAAGATCTGCCGAGACCTTTCGGACGCATGGTCTCCATTTTGGTAGAGTCGCGCCTGGGTGCAGTAGGTGTAGTGAGCGCTGAGGTTCTGAAGGAGGAAAACACAGCAAAACTCTCTCCCGCCAGGACCGGGTCCTGGGTGGTACCATCGTGGCCAACCGGGAGTTACTGAAGCAGTTCTTCGGAGGTGCGTATAGGTGTTGATGTGTGATCGGGGTGCTTGAAAAGGTCCTACAGAAAAGGCCGCTGTGTTGAAGGGTTTCTGAGTTTACTGGTATGTCTTCATGAGCCCGGAAGGTGGCAGCAAGTGAGCTTTCGCTGTTCTGGCCAGTGGTCTATGCGGAATCACTTGGCATGAGGACTCATTTTGCATCCTCATCGTCAACAGCGACTCGTGGCGTGCATGGCATTTCGCAGAAAGCATTCAGCAGGACATCAGCCGGTCTGTGAAACGGATGGCATCCTCAGCATGCACTACATGCTTGGGCATGGCTGTCACCGAAGGTATTTATGCCAGTCTATGCAATGTGAAGGAACGTGGCTCAGCTGAGGAAGTATTCCATCTCGCACACGGGCGCGACCTTGGTTCGTATCAGCCTCAATGTTCAATGTCCTCTTGTGGAGGTCCCAGGTGACCGGTTTCAGCCCAGTGCCAGGCGGAAAGTTGTGAAGAAGCTCATGAGTCCTGCGAGCACGGATCTGGTGTTGATGTGGCGGCGAGGCCTCAGCCACGGCACGAGCTTTTGGCAGTGCAGTGACCAGCCATGAGCTCCGAGTTGTGGGCGAAAAGAGCCCTGGCATGGTCTGGCTTGTGCCCCGCTGCGAACTGGCTTCTGTGGTGCCGGGCGGTCTCTCTCCCTCTTGTCCATGTTCCGTCCGAGCGCGAGACACACCTCTTCTGATGACCAAAGCCTGCTAAGCGACACCAAAAGCCGTTGAGAAGGATGATGCCCTTATGTGATGTTCAGTTTTCACTGCAGTGGCCAGTGGTCCCATGTGATTCGCAGGATCCGGGCTTCCAGGAAGTGTCCAGTCACTCAGTTGTCGCATCCTTGATCACGTTTATGTCCTGTAGTGATTGTGGTGGGTTGCACGATCCTGTACAGGTGAGGCACATGCCTGTTTTGCTTTGAGTTTGTTGTGTACGATGACTTTACTTTACGTCGCGTGTGGGGTTTCGATTTTTTCAGTCTGCGGTTATAGTGATGGTGCCTGCATCGTGCAATCGTCGAATCGTCGAAGTGGAGATGCCACATGCCCTTGACTCGGCCAGAAACGGTGGGAAGGAGGCAAGCTCGTTCGGGGCACTTTGGCGAGATAGCCCGAGACAGAAGCTGCATCGGGTATGAGTTTCATCAGTCGGACGACGATTTCGCAAAGCAGGTTGCAGATCATCCCCATACATGAATGGCCGTTTGCTTCGAAGCTTAGGGGCTCTATGAGATATGTGACCGTAGTCCTGGTCTGATATCCCATGAAACCCCTTGAAGCCCCGAATGCCTCTGCAAATCAGTTGTTTGGCAGCCCGTGGGCCAGTCCAGGACATGTCCGGTTAGGCCCTTGCATGCCCTGCAAAAGCCCCCAAAGTCGCAAAGAGATTTTGGGATTCTCCTCTGCCGCTTTCAAAGCCATGGGCTCGATGAAGGCCTCAAGCCCCGAGGAGGTCCGCTTTGTGGCTTTGTGTATGGAATTTCAAGAGCTCTTCTTCAGGATGGTCTTCCGAGTATGTAGACGTCGCTTTAGCCACGACGCAGTTTGCCGATTGGCTTTGGCTTGGGAGAGGTTTCCTTATGTTGCTGCTGCTGCTGCTCCTGCGGCGTCATCGTCACCTCTTCTTCTCTTTGCTCTCGAGGTCAGCACTCCTGTGTTGAAGTGGCTTTTGCTGCAGAAAGAGAGCCAGTGCGAGCCTCGATGAGTTCTGGAGACCATGGGTTTTGATAGTTGTGACAACCATTGACATGGTCGACAGTCGGAGCGAAGTTTAGAGCTTCTGGGTTCATCGCTAACATTGGAGCCCCAACTCTCCACCCCGAGCTGCCATAAAAGGGGTAACGACAGACTTGTGCTATTTACCGGGCAACAGGACGCAAGACCTTTAACGCCCAGCTAAACTCTGAAGCTGCAATCCGATCAGCTGTGATGCCACATCCAGCCCCCCAAGGCTTCCAGCACCATGCAAGACACCCCTGATGCATGTCCTCAACTTCCACCGACTTCGTCTGCATGTCCCGACCCCCGATACAACTCTAGAACTCCTAAAATGTCACCAGTCCCACGCCTTGTGACCAACTGTCAGATTCAATCCCGGAAGCCTTGGAGCTTCGAATCGCGAGCCCGACGATCCAACCTAAATCAACTTTCCTCTGCTACGTAGGCCCCGAGTATACCCGTGCCTCTTAGGTTGGTCGTCCAGGAGGAGGCCTGCTGAAAGGGGCGCTGTGGGAGGTTCTTGTAGGGACGGTTCAGGAGGGCCGACCTTTTGGCTGCTGCCGGGGGTTTTGTTGATGGTGCTTTCAAGAGACCACGACGGGTGTCTCTATTCTGGCTGAAGATATTCGGTTGGCGTGTTTGTTTTTTTGGATTTGGCTTCGGGTAAGTACAGGTTCTACTGCCCTTCAGCACACTCGTTCGGACTTCAGCCTGGTCGGAGATATGACGAGTCCAGGCTGGGGCTGTTCCTTCTCTTCCTTCCATCGGATCAGTCCGAAATGTTGAGCCCTTGCAGCTGACAAATCCCTGTGGCGGCGCCAGGCCAATGACATTCTCAAGAGCGAGACGAAGCACGTCAACGTAGCCAAGAGCTGAGTCACCAAGTTCGCGAAAGCCTCATCTGCCTTCTGCCACCAACGTACTATCCTACCATATACAATCCTGTAACATGGAACATTCAGATAGAAATGGTAGTGATAATATCAGGAACAATGATAAGATTAGCAAGAATATAGATATTTTACTCTAGTATAATACCATATAACCGACCTCGGCTGTGGGCCTTGCCGGCGCTTTGCGTGTTCGGAGCTCAGGCCATGGTGTGCGGCCGGCTGCGGACGGGGAAGCCCCAGCCTCGGGTGCATTAATGTTTCGTAGAGTTGAGGATTTTGGGGTTTAGAGTTTGGGGTTATAGGCTTTAGAGTTTAGGGTTTTGGGGTTAGAGCTTGGGGTTGAGGGTTTAGGGTTCGCGGTTTTGGCTTTAGAGTTTGGGGGTTTGGGTTTAGAGTTTAGGGTTTAAGGGTTTCGAGTTAAGGGGTTGGGGCTAGTAGGGGTCCTGGGCTCTAGCTTCCTGTTGGGGAGCTCATTTTCGAAAAGTAGTTTCTGATCCATGGCATGGAGTGGTTGTCAGCGGTTATCGGAGAAACTCTGGCGGCTGGTGACTCCAGCAGACTCCGCTTTTCGGTAGCAAGAACTCGAGTTGCGGAGAGTTCAGAGCTTTGAACTCTATCAGAGTCCAGCGTGTCCGAACTGACAGGAAGCGAGAGTTGCCCGAAGTTCTCGAACCTTTGACCCAATCGGAATCTTGATATACTGACAGAATGCTCTTAAAATCAACATACGAGGTCAACAACAGAGGCATGGAGTTTCTTGGCCTTCCAGAACTGAATCCAGGGTATGCGCTTCAGAGATCAATCACATGTTACGATGTTCTCATGTTCTTTCGCTTAGTCAGGGAACGGCATTATTTCGGAAACTGGTAAATGTTTGCAGGGCCAGGGATGTCTGCAACGCTCAGGTCCTACTTGATGAACTGCCTACTGAGCAGTCCCTCCTGTTTTGAAGTTTCTTCGCAGGCGCGACTTGGGTCTTTGAGAGATCGCAATCAGAGCCGAGCCAGGCCACGGGACCCGTTCTTGACAAAAACTTGAGCGTTGCGAGGCTCGCAGCTTCACCAAAGGTGTGGACTTGTGCTCCAGGCCTGGTCAATCTGCGGAGGTCATTCTAGTAGCATGGAACATGATACAACACAGCAGATGCGGCATTGGACGTTGCAGACTTCGGATTTCTGTGAAGAGTTGACATGATCCCCGAATTGCTGCAAGCATGTATGTCAAGCCTTCCAAGTCCCCACATGGATAGGTTAGTCAACACGGCCTGATTACCACCCCGACCTCGCAAAGGTTAGTCGAAGTTGACGAGATGGGCGGCAAAAAAGGAGGGTCCTCAGCTCAGCTTTCCCCAGCTCCTCTTCAGTGGTTGGCATTGACATCGGAGAAGGCCTTCGCGGATGGGCTGCACGAGTCCCAGGCCTGAGTTTGCACTCGAAGCCTCTAAACCTGAACGCCGAACCACCCTCCTCCGTCGATTTTCAAGACAAGAAGGCAGCACGCCTTAGCCTCAACCTGTCGGAAACACTGCCCAGGCGTAGGTTTGTTCGTAGACCAAAAACCCGACGGCTCGGAGCTCGTTTCTGCTCCCGAGGCCTCGGGTGGCCTTCGTGGATCTCGAGGGACAAGGGGACAAAGGAGACGCTTCCAGCCTTCCGAGGGGTCAGGGAGGGATGTCGGCGATGTTCTGTGTGGCTTGGGTTGAGGGGTTCTTGGTCGGAAACAATTGGGTTTTCGTGTCCTCGTGTGCTGGATCTCGCTTGGCGAGCCGGGAGGTTGGGTTCTGTGCGTGCTATTCAAGGCGAAGGATCTGGTGTGCCTTTACTTGTGCGGATCCGCTAGCGGGAGAAGTGTCGGCCCTCTGGGGGGTGGATGCTGGATTAAATGCCCAAGGCCACGTAGGATTCGCGTCTGTTGGGGGTTGCTCGTTGGTTGAGCATTGAGCCGTCGCGGAGGCAGAGCGGGGTGCCGATATCAATCCAGGTCCCCAAGCACTAGGCTTCTCAGAACCGAAAAGTCAGGAGGAACCCCTCCGCCCCACTGGCAGGATTGGCCCAGGACCTCAAGATAGCCACGCCCTGCCTTATTGTTTCGAAGGCGCTCAGCCTAAGGAAGCCTATGTCGTCGCGGGTGAGGGCTTGTAGGATTCCTGCACTCCCAGTGGTTGGGGGCTTTTTGGCTGTCGAACAGGCTTGCAGATTGCAGGGACCTAGGGGCTCCTGGGCCGGTCCGAGGGGGCGACCTCCCCAATTTTCCGATTTCCCCAGTACGTGGCTCTGGGCTTTTTGGAGGTTTAGGCGTTCCTGTACACCCTGCGTCCATAGATTCCACCTCTGAAGCACGACCTCCCAAAAATTGAAACAGATCG